TCTATATTGGATTTATTTTCTTTGGGTGCAGAAGTTCAAGGCTTTAAACAGCGTGAAATCTAACAGGCAGTGGCCCCACTTCCTATGTTCCGCCTCCAGGGCCCTTTGTTGGTCTGTCTTACCTCCTTGGTCTTTGCGTGGCTGGGCCCTGCTGGGCTGGCTGCCCTCTCTGCTCCTCTCCCGCCTTTTCACATTCTGTGCAAAGCCTTCCCTGACTGCCCCAGCCCAGTCCCTGTGGTTTTGGCCCCTTCTTTTAAACTCATTTGACATAGAACTATAGGTTGCCTTAGACACTGCTAATGTTACTGGCCCCTAGTTTTGGTGGGGTCTTGTGAAGTTGCTGGGACCCAGGCCTGGCTTTTCCCTCTCTTGTATCAGCTGAGCACCCAAGGTGCAGTGGCCCAGGCAGCCATATCTGGCATGTCCAGCAGGGGGCGGTGCTTACTCACAGTGGTCCCATCAGCTGGGGCTGGTGGTCCCATCAGCTGGGGCTGGTGGTCCCATCAGCTGGGGCTGGGCTGGGAAGTGTTTCACTTTTTTACTTTCCACCAACTTCCACCCAGAAAGTCACCCCGTCACCCCACCCCCAGGGCTGGGATAAGCCATGAAGCTGCTAGCCAGGGATGACAGCTGGCCAGAGTGGGGGAGGGAGGAGAGTCTCGTGGCACTCTGAGACTGGGTGCTGCACTTTTAGGGCAGTACTACTTAGGCCCAGCCACCCCCTTTGTACCCAGAACCACTGGTAGGAGCTGGCCAGCTAGAGCCGTGAGGGCGGGAGGCCTGGAAGGGTTTGCAGCAGTGAGAGCCTCTGCCACCACCCCCTGGGGAGGGAGGGAGCCATGCAGTTCCCTTTTCCCATAGCCCCAGAGCAAGTGAGTTTCCGGACTAGGGGTGGATAGGGGCGGGGAGTCCTATCCCAGGAAACAGATGGGCAGCCTCAGAACGGAGGGAAATGGCAACCCCACCGCTTCCTCCCATCCCACACAGCCAGCGTTTGGCTGGGGGGCGGTGTGTGGAAAGGGTTGCCTGGAGCGGGGAGGCGATCGAGCCCACCCCAGGGCTTTTTAGCCTGGGCCCCATGGGAGGGCAGGCCATGTCTGGAACAGGACTTGGCTTCCCCTCTCTGGTTGGAGTTGACGCCAAAAGTGAGGCAGCCAGAGGGCACTGAACTGGGAGGGAAGGCTCCCCGACTCAGCCTCTTGGAGCCTGCCTTTCCCATTTGAAAATAAGGCTGATTCCTGCTACCCATCCCCCAGGCTCTTGTCAGGCTCCCTGAGATGTTGGCTGGGGTGGGAGGGGTCACAGATGAAATAGTCCTGTGCCAGTGACTTGGTGCAGAGCCTGGCATGTTGAAGCACTCGGTTGTGTGTGTTTGCTGGCCATCACCGTGTCCTTTCCCCTTGTTCATGTCCTTTGGGCCAGCCACATGGTGTGGGGCAACCCCACTGGGAAGAGCCATGGAAGCCACAGTTCACCTGCACTTGTGGAGGGCCCATGCCTTTCATCTGCAGGGAGACAGCTCTCCAAGCCTGGCTTTGCTTATTGGGGCCTTCCTGAGGTGTGGGATCCAAAGGTAATCCCTGGATTGCCTTGTGTTGGCCCCAGTGGTGGCGTCTACCCCTGCACACTCCCCTGGATTTCCTGATGGCCCTGATCTCCACACTGCCTCCTGCTGGATCTCCTGCAGGAGCATCATTGTCCCTTGGAGCAGTCACTTTCAGCTCTTCGCCTGCCGAGTTGTGGGTTCGCATGCTCAAGGCTTTCTGGAACTACCTTAGGTACCTCCAGATTTGGTCTAGCACATGAACAGCTGGGGTGTGGGCTGCAGGGAGCTGGGGGATTCTACAGATCTGGCCCATCACTGTTTCTGATTGACCAGCATGTCCAGACATCCCGGGAAAGCCGCTAACCTCAAGGTAGCCAAATCAGGGAGACTGTGAGGGGTGCTGGAGAGACATGGATTAGGCACAAGCCACACACACCAGCACGATGGGGAGAGTAGTCACTAGCAGAGACGACCTTGAGTATGTTGGGGCAGATGGGCAACCGTGTCACAAGAGAGGCAGCTGAGCACATTTCTGATGCTGGGACGCTGGGCAAGTCAGTTCTTTTTGGCCATAGTTTTCTTATCCACACAGTGAAGGACGGGCAGGTTCTCAAATGATCCATCTCCAGGGTCTCTTCTGGCACTGGTGTTAGAATATTCTAGATGTGAGGGCAAAAAGGACTAGGACCCAAAGGCAGCCTGAGAGAAGGTCCTGGGGCCCAGGAACTTCAGGGGGATCGGGGGTTTTGTAGTTCCATGGTTGTCATGTAATTGAGTGGCAGTAAAATCTGGTTTGTCAGCTCAGGCAGTTTATTCCCTGGGGTTGGCAGCCTGGCCCGTGCAGGGGAGCAAAAATGGCTTTCCTCCATCTTGCTAGGCTGCTTGGCTGGGCTATGAGTTCAACTGACTTATAAACAAAATTAACAGGACTGGGTGCAGTGGCTCACTTTGGGAGGCTGAGGTGGGCGGATCACTTGAGGCCAGTTCAAGACCAGTCTAGCCAACATGGTAAAACCCCAACTCTACTAAAAATACAAAAATTACCCGGGCGTGGTGGGCGCCTATAATCCCAGCTACTCGGGAGGCTGAGGCAGGAGAATCGCTTGAACCCGGAAGGCAGAGGTTGCAGTGAGCTGAGATTGTGCCACTGTACTCTATTCTGGGTGACAGAGCAAGACTCCACCTCAAAACAATAACAACAACAAAAAACAAGATCAACAGGAGAAAACCATATTTAATTACATAATCTGCACGTGGGTGTACCACAAAATATGAGATTCCCAGAAGGGTGAGATGACTGAAGCCTGTATAGCAGCCTGAGTTACAGAAGGAAATAGGGGCTTGGGGCTTCTGGGGGTGGTGGCGACACAAGTTATGGGAGGGTGAGGGGAGGAATTGTACAGTGAATAAACGTCTTGTTAGGCAGATAAAAACTTCTCAGATAATGAAAGATGCCTCAGCAGATTGTCAATAAGTCAGTCTTCCCTTCTCAGGGAGGGGGACTCAGGACAAGGGGCATCCCTCTTTAGGCAGATAAGAGAAGTTCAGAGAAAGTTCCTCCCTGCATCTGTTTTTTCCCAAGTGTCTTCAGGTTTGAAATAATCAGCATGCCAAAGCCACATATTATGGGATGGCATTTCCTGAACTCCTTCATCCACACCCTTTAAACTTGGGAGGAGAAGGCAGATATCGCCCTAGCTTTTGCCAGGGCAGGTGTCAGCAGAATTCAGAGCCAAAAGGGGATTTCTAAAGATAGAGAAAACCCCCGACTCAAGGAGTCAGCAGGCCTCGGGCTCAGAGGAGGATACATTTCTAGGGTGTCCGTCGGGACATCCAGGTCTGTTGAGGGTGAGGAAAAGAAGGCTGTGCTCATAGGTAGTGTGGAGTAAATTCTGACTTTCTGGAGGACCACTTGACAGTATTGAGAGAAATTAAACATGTTCATAGCCCTTGATTTACCCACAGGATTAAACCCTGTGGGGTGTATTTACAAAATAAAAGGATGTTCATTATAGCATTATTTATAATTTCAAAGCAAAACTGGAAGCAAACAAAATGTCCAGCAGTAGAGAGCTGTGGTGCCCTTATGATTTATGGGACAATCTCTCAGTGAATTACTTGGCAATGTTTCAGAAAAATGGGGTGGCTCTCTCTGTGCTAATGGGAGCAATCCTCAAGATAGAAGCGGAATAAGCAAGGTGTAGGAGCTAGTGAACTGGACCCCCAGGCCAAATTCGGCTCAATGCCTGTTTTTGTATAGCCTCCAGCTAAGAATGATTTTTATATTTTAATTTTTATTATTTATTTTTGAGACAGGGTCTTGTTCTGTTGCTCAGACTGGAGTGCAGTGGTGTGACCACCACTCACTACAGCCTCGACCTCCCAGGCTCAAGCAATCCTCCCACCTCAGCCTCCCAAATAGCTGGGAGTGCAGGTGTGCCATCACACTCCACTAACTTTTTTGCATTTTTTTGTAGATACAGGATTTCGCGATGTTGCACAGGCTGGTCTCAAACTCCTGGGCTCAAGTGATCTGTCTGCCTCCACTTCTCAAAGTGCTGGGATTACAAGCATGTGCCACTGTGCCCAGCTTGATTTTTACATTTTTAAATGGTTGAATCAGAAGAAAAATAGTATTTTGTGACTTATAGAAAAAGTGATATGAAATTCAGATTTCAGGTCCAAGACAATTTACTGGAACACAGCCATACCCATTCATTTACGTATTGCCTATGACTGCATTCGTGCTACTACAGAGTTGAATCTTGCAACAAAGCCTAAAATATCATCTGGCCCTTTATAGAGAAGGTTTGCTGACCCCTGGTACGCAGCCTGATTCCTTCTGTGTGTTTTTTTTTTTTTTTGAGACGGAGTCTCGCTCTGTCGCCCGGGCTGGAGTGCAGTGGCGCAATCTCGGCTCACTGCAAGCTCCGCCTCCTGGGTTCACACCATTCTCCTGCCTCAGCCTCCCGAGTAGCAGGGACTACAGGTGCACACCTCCACGCCCAGCTAATTTTTTTGTATTTTTAGTAGAGACGGGGTTTCACTGTGTTAGCCAGGATGGTCTCGATCTCCTGACTTGTGATCCACCCGCCTTGGCCTCCCAAAGTGCTGGGATTACAGGCGTGAGTCACCGCGCCTGGCCTCTATGTGTTCTTATACTGACTTACTGCGCACAGTTTTTTCCTCTGGAGGTGGTTACTCTTGTGGAGGGGGACCGGTAGAGGAAGGGAAACTTGGATTTTTCATTTTGTATCATTCTGTTCAGTTTTAATTTTCTAACCTATGTGTATATTTGTGTGTGTGTGTGTGTGTGTGTGTGTTTGTGTGTTTTTTTTTTTTTAGTCAGTGGGGCTTTTGGTGGGAATATTGTGGAACATTCTTGGTAACTTTGTGCTTTTTTTTTTTTTTTTTTTTTTTAAAGTGCTCACTGAGGAAAGAGCAGACAACATAAGGCCTGGTTTGATGATTTCCTTTTTGTTCTGGGTGGGGGCCACCTGCCCGCTCTGTGTCCTGATGTGGAAACTCTGAGACCTTTATTTGTGTCTCCACCTGCTTGGCTGGCTCCTTCCCCCTCTGGCCTGCAGCCCTGTCGCCTGCTCCCCTAGGGACAGAGCTCTGTCGGCCGCTGGTCAGAGGGTCCTGCACCCCAGGGTCCTTCCCTGATTGCCCAGAACAACGTCCCTGTGCAGGGCCTCCATAGACCACCTCTCTGGTTTCCTTCTGGAGAATTTTCTGGAGTTGGGGAAGCACACAGAAGGGTTGGCATGAGAAGCTGGCACAACCCGAACACCAGCTCCCCCAGGGGCAGATGAGAGAGCGGCTGTTTCCTGCAGAGCCAGGTGGGAAAGGGTCAGGATCACAGAAGGGCTGGGGTGGCACAGTGAACTGGATGGACCCCTACCATGTGGTCTAAATGGCTCATGCATGGGTCATAAGAGGAAACCAGGGACAGAGGAAGAAGGGCTCGCCCACGGCCTTCCAGGGAATAAGTGAGTTAGCAGAACTGGGGGCTTGAGGCCAGGTTTTCTGGGTCCTATCAGTGAGTGAATTGAGGAGCTCAGACTTGGAGTTCATTCTCTGCTCAAGCTCACCAGTGCTTGAGGATGGTGGAATTTGTGGATTCCTATCTTGGTCTGCCTTGCAGTTAGGAGTTACCTGTACCCCACCTATCTGTTAGACTGAGCTGCAGCAGAGGGTAGAGCTTGGATCTTATCAGCCCTGCCCCCACCATATAAGAGGCTTAGTAAATGTTTGCCGAGTAGAGGCATCATCATAAGCCATGGAACCCACGGAGCCAAACGGAACTCCCTTGGGGGTTTTGTTAAGGAGGCCAGCCACCTCCTTCACAGCTCCCGTGCCTCATGTGCCAACTGCACTGGGCCCCAATAATCCTTTGTCCTAGAATGTACCTGCCACTCCCATGCTCAGGTTAGTGTTACTTCTTGGCTGGCCGCTAGGTCCTGGGCACAGATCTGGAGCATGCCAGCGTCAACACTGGTAGACCCAATGTCAGGGTCCTCTGCTGTGCATCCTGGTCCTAAGGACTGGGCCACCAAAGCCCTGGGTTCCTTGCCTTGTCACAGCTTAAGTGCAGGGCTACCACTTCCTCTTTAGAATCCTCCTTTGTCTCCAGTGGAGGCATCATCACGCCCTACTAGAAACACCTGCTCTCCAGCCACTCAACTGCTGGTTCCACTTGGGCTCTTCTCCTTTTCTTGTATATGCCAGAGCTGTGCTATCTGATATATTTAAATTTTCTTGTATATTCCAGAGCTGTGCTATCCGATAAATGTAAATTTGAATGTGGCAGCCGCTTGCCACATTCAAATTTAAATTAATTAGAATTTAATAAAAAATTCAGTTCTTCAGTCACAGCAGCCACACCTCAGGTGCTCAGTGGCCACACATGGCCAGTGCTGCCACACCGTACGGCACATGTAGGGCCGTTCCCATCATTGCAGAGATGGAAATGCTCTTCATGGATAATGCTGTAGAGTTGTGGTTCTCAATGGGGGCAATTTTCCTTCCCAGGGCACATTGGATAATGTCCAGAGACATTTTTAGTTGTCCTAACTTAGGGGTGGTGGTGCTACTAGCTCTTGGTTCTAGTGGGTAGAGGCCAGGAATGGGCTTGGCAGTGGAGACTCAGGCCATGGGATTTGTCTCATCCCGTGGCTGCGAAGTGCCTCTCCACGGGTTCCTTTGATAATCTGCCCCAGAAGTAGCCTGGCCACACTAAGGGCCTGAAGTAGAAACAGGAGGTATCACTCTAAATCCTGATTCCATTTCTCCTGACCAAACCCAAATCAGGATTCCTGATGTTTCTTCAGCAAAGAAAAGGAAACCAGACTTGCCAACTGGTTTCGGGAAGGAATCTCTATACATGCTAGATAAAATGCAGGCAGCTTATGTAATAGGGTCTGTCCTAGCCTCAGTCACATACACAAAGAGATTCAGTTTAAAAATATTAGCTGTAAAAACTTTTCTCAGGTAGGCCGAGCATGGTGGCTCACGCCTGTAATCCCAGCACTTTGGGAGGCTGAGGTGGGCGGATCACCTGAGGCCAGGACTTTGAGATCAGCCCGGCCAACACGCTGAAACGCTGTTTCTATTAGAAATATAAAAATTAGCTGGGCATGGTGGTGCACAACTGTAATTCCAGCTACTTGGGAGGCTGAGGCAGGAGAATCTCTGGAACACAGGAGGCGGAGGTTGCAGTGAGCCGAGATAGTGCCACTGCACTCCAGCCTGGGCAATAGAGCAAGACACTGTCTCAAAAACAAAAAAAAAAAACAAAAAAAAGAGGAAAAAACTTGTTTCTAAGTGATGTCAGCAGGGGACCAAGCCAGGAGCTACCTTTCAGGAATTCTGTAGCATATGGGAGATTCTTTTTTAATGCCCAGCCCTGCTTCTACCAGGACCCACAAAGGTGTAAGAGAAAGCCAAGGAAGGCTTCTGCCCTCAGGGAGTTTCTGCCCTGCTGGGGTTCCTTGGCATTTGCTGGGAAGAGGTCAAGGTACATGAGTAAATGGTCAGAATTATTTAGTATTATAGAAGGTAACACAGGCCTTTTTTTTTTTTTTTTTTTTAAAGTGTGTACAGACCCAGGGCCCAGCCCTTGGCTCCCAGGACCTTTTGGTGGAGTGAATGAAAATAAAAGAACAAAGCCCATAGGGCTGATGAATCAGATCAAGTGACATCCCTCTAAAACCAGAAAAACTAGTCTGGGCCTGCTAGACAACACTGGGGTCAGTCAGGGTCACCTCCAAGGAGAGTCAGCTGCTTCAGTGGGTCAGAGGTGAGGCATCAGGAAGGACCCGCCCATCACATATATTTCACATTACTCCTTAGTGAAGACCTTGACCCCAGGAGGCTCCCTAACAATGTGACTGTGTAACCTGGGAGGGTGGCTAGAGAGTGGAGCCTCTGAGAGGTAAGGCAAAGAGCTTAGAGGGAAGATCTCAAGCAGGGTGAGAGGCTTAACAGGACCCGGGTTGGAGCTCCCCAGGGGACAGTGGGGGCTTAAAGGCTCTGAGACCTTGAGTGATGGTGTAGGGAAGAAAGAAAGGGTAGAGCTGAGAGGGAGGAGAGAACCCCCTGAGTCAAGGGCATTACCTATTTGGGGATTTTTTTTTTTTTTTTAGGTTTTTATTGATTGATGATTGATTGATTATATTTTTTTTGTAGAGAAGAGGTTTTGCCCTGTTGCCCAGTCTCATCCCAAACTTCTGAACTCAAGCAGTCCGCCCACCTCTGCCTCCCAAAGTGCTGGGATGACAGGAATGAGCCACCATGCCTGGTGCCCAATTTGGGGATGATTCTGAAGTCCAGCACTAGGCAAGGTCCTCTGCTTTGCGAACTGGAAGATGGTTTTGGGAGTTGGGGAGAGTGGAGGACCTAGATCTTCAGGAAGTAGCTTTCCAAATTTCAGAATAGAGGCGATGAACCCGATGAACCTGGGACGTTCTTTTTTTTTTTTTTTTTGAGATGGAGTCTCACTGTGTCTCCCAGACTGGAGTGCAGTGGCGCGATCTCGGCTCGGCTCACTGCAAGCTCTGCCTCCCGGGTTCACGCCATTCTCCTGCCTCAGCCTCCCGAGTAGCTGGGACTACAGGCGCCCACTACCACACCCGGCTAATTTTTTGTATTTTTAGTAGAGACGGGGTTTCACTGTGTTAGCCAGGATGGTCTCGATCTCCTGACCTCGTGATCCACCCACCTCGACCTCCCAAAGTGCTGGGATTACAGGCGTGAGCCACCGCGCCCGGCCGGGATGTTCTTAAGTAGCAAATAGTTCAGGATGGTTAGGAAGCTCTTAGAAATGAAAGATGGGGGTCCCATGAGCAGAAGCAGGCAGTGTATCAGGAGAGATGTGGTCTCTGGCTACCTGAAACCTTCTGTTGAAGGAGTTGGAAAACAGTTAAGTGGAAGGGAGGACATGTAACTAGAGATGAAGGAAGAGTGTGGTCCAGAGCCCCCCCGGGTGAACTGAAGCTTGTGGCAAAACTCAGGAGGCTCGAGAGGGCTGTTTTATGTATTTGGAAGAACAACAATGAAGCAGTGTCTGGTGCTGGAGGTCAATGGTAACATTAGCAGAGGACAAGAAGAAATGGGAGGGGCTGGGCGCAGTGGCTCACTCCTGTAATCCCAGCACTTTGGGAGGCAGAGACAGGTGGATTGCCCTAGCTCTGGAGTTCAAGACCAGCCTGGCCAACATGGTGAAATCCTGTCTCTAGTAAAAATACAAAAATTAGCTGGGCATGGTGGTGCACACCTGTAATCCCAGCTACGTGGGAGGCTGAGGCAGGAGAATCCCTTGAACCCGGGAGGTTGCAGTGAGCCGAGATTGCACCACTGCACTCCAGCCTAGGTGACAAAGTGAGTCTCTCTCTTTTTTTTTTTTTTAACAAAAAGAAATGGAGGGATTCTTTGATCTCATTTTGTTCATCTTCTCTTTTGAGCTTGTAGTGGTAGGAGGGACCTGAACTGAGGGTGGGTGATTCATCTCCTGTCCTGGGAAAGTTCTCTCCTGGGGTGCTAGGGAACTGTGGTTGGTGACCTACAGGAAGTGTGGGAAATGTCAAAAGGGGTCAGGGGCAGGAGATGGCTAATGTCCATTTATCAAAAAGGTGAAGGAGGTGAGCTCTGCAAATTGCTACAGATGAGGCTTGTAAATGCTAAGAAAAGCTAGATTGGGATCACTAGGAACAAGGCATATTGATTTTAGTTTATGTTTTGGATAGTAGCAAAGTATTTTTCGATTTAGATGAGGCCTTTGATGGAATCCTAGGACCTCTTCCTAGACTGCCTGGGGATGTTGTCAGCATGTTATAACCAGTGAAAGATCCAACTTGGAAACAGTTTCTTCTTGGTTCTTTCTTACCCCTTGCTCTGCTGCCACACCCACTTCTGTGGACCTTGTGGATGGCCTCTGCCCTTGACTTTGTTCTGTTCATAATTTGGATTAGTGTCTCTGGGGGCTACTGATGGTGGTGCTGGCTGAGAGGAGGAGCAACAGGATTGAGCTCTCAGGAGCTCTCTGTAGGCTGAGCAAACAGCAGGCCAACTCTGATAAGGGGAAATTTGCCAGGGACATGTGAGGGACTGCATTTGGGACCAGAAAAATAACTGCTCAGATACAGCCTGGCGCTTGTGCCTAGTAGCAGCATGAATGAGAAGAATTTTTTTGAGTTTTTGCTGATTGCAAACTCCATACATCAGCAGGGGGATGTGGCCACCAGAAGAGCTGCTGTGGGTTCAGGCTGCATCGATAGACATGATGCTCTGGTTTCTTCATGAACCTAACAGTGGGGATGCCTTCTCCCACCCCTGCAGGCAG